TTTTGTGGGGGGGATGGGCCTCTCCCCTGCCAGTCTCCTGTCCCCAAATGCAGAATGTTCCCAGCCCTGCCTTCCTACAGCCTTTATTGGGGGAAGATGCCTCCCCCGCCCCCGGCCACCACTGCTGCTGGATTTCCCTGGGCGCCCTGCTGGCGATCACTTAGCATTGTCTCGTTAGCGCAATTACCATCGAGCTGCTTTTTTGTGGGGGGGATGGGCCTCTCCCCTGCCAGTCTCCTGTCCCCAAATGCAGAATGTTCCCAGCCCTGCCTTCCTACAGCCTTTATTGGGGGAAGATGCCTCCCCCGCCCCCGGCCACCACTGCTGCTGGATTTCCCTGGGCGCCCTGCTGGCGATCACTTAGCATTGTCTCGTTAGCGCAATTACCATCGAGCTGCTTCTTAGAAGAGTGTCACCCCCCAGCATTGGCATCGCAAGGGAAGTCGATGGCTCCTAGGCCTTGCAAGCGTGTTAAGAACACAAGAGAGGAGGGAATAAGTTGCCATTAGTACAGGTTGGACATCCCTGGTCCGGCACTCTCGGGATCCGGCAGCTCTCGGAGGAGGGAGTTTGCTGGACCAGAGACGCTCAGTTATGCCTCTCTATTGAGGCACTCTGGGGTCTTCTGGGGTTCGTCAGCAGACTTGGCTGGACTCATCTGCTCTACCGGGGATTGTCTGCAGCTCCGAAGCCACCGGGGCTCCCCTGCCTCCCCCCAAACTCTGCCCCTCTGGCACTGCCGGGGCTTCATGGCCAACACTCTTCAAGCTCTCATCTCCAATCACTGTCACCAGGGTCCCCGGGCTGTCTGGTCCAGGGGCTCCCTGGTCCAGCAACCAGAGATGGACCAGAGAGTCCTGGACCAGTGATGTCCAATCTGTAATTACATCTAATTCTAACAGACCATTCTCCATCCTGGGATCTGATAGGTCGTGACACAACAGAGTATGAATTATTATGTCCATTGAATGGAAGAGGAAAATGAAGCCCCAGGAAATGTGGGGGAGGGGAATTGCTTAGTAATTTGAGCATTGGTCTACTAAACCCAAGGTTGTGAGTTCAACCCTTGAAGGGGCTCTTTAGGGATGGTACTTGATCTTCCTGTGAGGGCATGAGACTGGACTTGATGACCTCTCAAGGTCTCTTCCAGCTCTATGAGATCACTATATCTCCCTGAATTTATAATGGAGATTGCCTATCTCCTAGCACTGGAAGGGACCTTGAAAGGTCATCAAGTCTAGTGTGCTGCCTTCTCAGCAGGATCAAGTACCATCCCTGATGAATTTTTGCCCCAAATCCCTAAATGGCCTCACCTCTGCAAGGATTGAACTCACAACCCTGGGTTTAGCAAGCCAATGCTCAAACCATTGAGCTATCCCTCCCCCCTAATTTAATAAACAAGGCTCTCAAACAGCCATTAGCATCGGTGGCAATTGGTTCCAGGTTCCCTCTGCCAAAATCGTTGGCCCCGTCTTCTGGGTGACACAAATTACATCCTGTCTTTCTCAAAAAACTTCTGCTTCTTTGGGTACTGCATTGTGCAGGGACGGATCAGCCGAAGGCTTTGGTAGAGCAGGAAGAGCTTGTCTACGCTAGAATCACTACAGAGGAAAAATTTTGCCATCGACCTAATTCCTCCATCTCTCTGAGCCGAGGTAGCTTTATCAAATCTGGGCACCACGGTTCAGAAAAGAGGTGGCGAAATTGGAGAGGGTCCAGAGAAGAGCAACAAAAATGGCGGAAGGTCGAAACCAGTGTTTCTCAACATTTTTTTCATCAAGTACCCCTTTCGAAAAATTATAAGTAACCCCAGTACCTACAGTTTTCACAATTTTTTTCTACCATTTTAACATGTTTGTTTAAACAACTTGATTGTAGCTGGGTGGACGATGAAATTTTTGGGTGTAAAAAGTACAAAAATAGTAAAGCGCTGCAAAACTTCAAACAAAATTTCAGTTTTCTTCAAATTTCAGTCGTGTTGACGTACCCTCTCAGATTCCTCTCAAGTTCCCCTGAGGGTACTGGTACCACTGGTTCACAAATACTGGTCTAGGAAACAGGAGCTAGGAGGGAGTTGGAGGATTATGTCCAGTTCTGGGCACCATATTTCAGGAAAGATGTGGAGAAATTGGAGACAGTCCAGAGAAGAGCAACAAGAATGACGAAAGATCTAGAGAACATGAGCTATGAAGCCAGGCTTCATGAGGCTGAAAGAATTGGGCTTGTTTAGTTTGGAAAAGAGAAGACTGAGTGGGAACATGAAATGAAAGCGGTTTTCAGATATCTGAAAGGGTGTCACAAGGCGGAGAGAGAAAAATTGTTCTCCTTGGACTCTAAGGATAGAACAAGAAGCAATGGGCTTAAATTGCAACAAGGGAGGTTCAGGTTGGACATTAGGAAAAACTTCCTGCCTGTCCGGGTGATGAAACACTGGAATAAATTGCCCAGGGAGGTTGTGGAATCTCCATCCCTGGAGATATTGAAGAACAGGTTGGACAGACACCTGTCAGGGATGGTCTAGATGGTCTTTGGTCCTGCCGTGGGGCAATTCCGTTATTCTGGAAGAAAATCGAACTAACAGAGGGCTTTTTCCCATGTTGGCAAACCTCATTCCAGGAGGAATAAAGCCTCTTCTGAAAAGCTCTTTCGGAAGAGGGGCTATGTCTAGACTGCAAGCCTCTTTCGAAAGAGAGCGTCTAGACTGCACGTTGAACTTTCGAAAAAGCGGCTTGCTTTTTTGGAAGAAAGCATCCAGTGAGTCTGGATGCTCTCTTTTGAAGAAGCCCTATTTACATTGAAGAACGCCTTCTTTCGAAAGAGGAACTTTCAAAAGAAGGCGTTCTTCCTCGTGAAATGAGGTTTACCGCCATCGAAAGAAAAGCCGCGTTCTTTCAATTTAATTTCGAAAGAACGCGGCTTGAGTCTGGACGCAGGGGACGTTTTTTCGGAAAAAGGCTACTTTTCCCGAAAAAAACCCTGAGTCTGGACACAGCCAGGGTGTGTGTAGTCGCTCCACTGCTATTATGTCGAAATAGCCCCACCCCACGGCTGTTCTATGTTACTCCTCCCCAATGCCTCCTGGGAATGCACATTAGGGCAGCCTGCCTGGGACTAATTTTGAAGCTTCCATCGAGTGTGGATGTGCTATTTCGAAATAAGCTATTCCAGAAGATATCCAGAAGAAATAAGCTTACAGTTTAGATGTACCCTCTTCTGGGAATGCACATTAGGGCAGCCTGCCTGGGACTAATTTTGAAGCTTCCATCGAGTGTGGATGTGCTATTTCGAAAT